TCCTATGACTCTGATGGGCAGATAAGCAACTGTTAGGATGAAATTTCTTGGTGAAATTTACAACTCATTCCATTCCCCTGCAACCCCCACCTAACAATGCAAACCCACAATTCAAATGCTCTCAGCACAGCTGGGTTCACATAGCAGCAACAACAACAAAAAAGATAAAAAAAAATGTGTTGCTCTTCTTACATGAAGGCTGTAGTCTTTTCACATGAACAAATCATCTCTGGAGCATTTCTTCATGTAATAAGTAATTTAAAAGTAAAGTAACTTACCTTTGGCTGAACTTCTAACACGCACCCTAACATCTGGATGATCAGAAATCATTTCCAGCCATTTCTTCAAACAAATAAAATCATCAGGGAGCATGTGCAATTTTAAGTTAAATTTGTTTTCTCATGTCAAACGGCTTCACTGTCTTTAGAGTTTGAGCATGCTGCAGGGAGTGCATGCTGTCAAAGGCATGGCCCCTTGGCTTCTCAGAAACCTATCAGCAATTTAGCTGCCTCTTTGGGGTGGGATTCCCTTCCAAAGTTTTTGAATAGAAAACATACTATTTTCTAAATAAATTCTACTCTAAAGATTTAATGACCCATGTATACGAACTGAGGTATTCCATTATGGAACATCATTTGAAGCCTTACACACAGAACCACTCACAGCACTTCAGCACATGCCACGAGCCACCTTCAGAGCACATCCCCCCACCTCAGGAACTACCAGCATCCTGCAGCCCTTTGCCACGCAGCGCTGGGAAAGGCTGGGGTGCGGAAGCCCAGGGCTCCCACAGAGAGAGAGGTCCCTTTTCCCTGGTGCTCACCAGGTACCAAGGCACAGCTGTGGCTGGTGGCTCGACAGCTTGCTGCTGACGCCCCCAGTGGCCAGGCGCAGCCGTGTGCCCATGCATGGTGGGCATCAGTCTTCAAAGTTGTGCAGATCAAACCAGCCATGACTTCATTGCAGTTCCACTTTTCTTCCTGAAAGGAATCAAGCAGCCTGAAATGGTCAGGCAGCTCTGCTCCCTCTGCTTGTCCCTCACAGATAAACCTCTCCTGGCACCTCCTGCAAGCTGAAGCGTCATAGCAGCTCTACCTGCTCAGCTCCATCAGCATCAAGGTGGGAGGATTTCCCAATTAACTCTTCTCTCCCTAGACACAACTGACTTCTCTCCCATTATCTTTGATACACCAAAACACAGAATCACAGAATGTTAGGGGTTGAAAGGACCTCCAGAGATCATCGAGTCCAACCCCCCTGCCAGAGCAGGACCATCTAGTCTAGGGCAGGTCACACAGGAACGCATCCAGACGGGTCTTAAAAGTCTCCAAGGAAGGAGACTCCACAACCTCCCTGGGGAGCCTGTTCCAGTGCTCTGGAACCCTTACAGGAAAGAAGTTCTTCCTCATGTTGAGGTGGAACTTCCTGTGCTCCAGCTTGTGACCGTGGCCCCTCATCCTATCACAGGGTACAAGAGAAAAGAAGTTGCCCCTTTCTCCTTGACACCCAGACCTCATATTTATACCCATTAATTAGATCCCCCCTAAGTCTTCTCTTCTTCAGACTAAACAGCCCCAGGTCTCTCAGTCTCTCCTCATAAGGCAGGTGTGTTCCAGTCCCCCAAACATCCTCATAGCCCTTCGCTGGACTCTGTGCAGTAGATCTCTGTCCCTCTTGAAATGGGGAGCCCAGAACTGGACACAACACTCCAGGTGAGGTCTCACCAGGGCAGAGTAGAGGGGGAGCAGGACCTCCCTTGTTCTGCTGGACACACTTTTCTTAATGCACCCCAGGATCCCATTGGCCCTCCTGGCCACAAGGACACACTGCCGTCCCATGGACAACTTGTCCACCAGGACTCCAAGGTCCGTCTCCACAGAGCTGCTCTCTAGCAGATCACCTCCTAACCTGTACTGGTGCATTTTATTACTCCTGCCCAGGTGCAGGACTCTGCACTTATTCTTCTTGAACCTCATGAGGTTCCTCCTGGCCCAGCTCTCCAGTCTGTCCAAATCTCACTGAATGGCTGCACAGCCTTCAGGTGTATCAGCCAAACCTCCCAGCTTTGTGTCATCAGCAAACTTGCTGACTCTATACCATCATTGAGGTCGTTAATGAAGATGTTGAACAGGACTGGACCCACTAGTTCCAGCTCTCCAGCTGGACTTGGCACCATTGATCACCACTCTGTTTATCCCACCAACAACTGCCCTGGGCATCCCAGAAAGGCAGAGTAGCAGCACCTCAGACGCAGGTGGACCTTGTTCTCCCACTCACCCCATTTCTTACCTGATGGTGCAGCACAGAGCAGGAGCACGCTGACCTGGGCACCACCACGTCTATCAAAGAAGAGCTGAGAACAATTACTGAGCTGAGCAGATGGCAAAATCACTGCACCTGCCACAGCAGGACAGACACCTGAAGGCTCAAGCACCACAGCATTGTGTGCTTCAAGTTGTTTCATGTTAAAACATCTGTATTTAAAATTATCCTGTACTTGAAAGGTACTATGCAAGTATTAAGTAAACTTCTATTCAAACTCACTAGAACAGAGGAAGTAAATAATTACAAGTAACTCAGGAAAGGACAGCAAAGGTGGGATGGGCAGGTATTTATAGCAAAAGCAGATCTATGGTTGCCAACAGCTCATAGATCAGTTCCTCAGCAGTCCAGCCTGTAGGCCAATCAAGCACAAAAAGGAGCTGAAACAAGGGAGAAACACCAGTCTTTCACCTTCAGAGATCTGGCCAAGAGTCTATGTTGACAGGAGTTCCTGGAAGAATTTTCATTCCTCAGAAACACTATGTTTTAAAATTGCAGTATAGCACAATTTAAAAATGGTTGCTAAACTATGGTTTGGAATTAAAACTGCAGAGAAAGCAGAAAGTTCCTTTTGCCATTGTCTTCATTTTCAAAGATGAGTAGTTTCTCACTTCTGTAAGACATCCTGAGTTAAGCACGACACAGATTATATATGGTGCAAGCTTGGTCAAAACTGACAGCATGCTTGGTGCTGCCTGAAGTGGTCAAAGTAGTATAAAACTCTAATGCTCTGATTCTACAGTGACCTGGAAGTCACTTAATTTGCACGATCAATCCTCCCACATCTTCTGTAAGCAGGCTGCAATCAAAGGGAAAGATTTCTGATACACATTCTGTAGTAACGTTGTAAAAATAAACACATCTCTGGCACACAGACATGCAAACCAATACCGAGGCTTCTACAAAGCCATTGCAGACAGATCTACACCCAGCACCACGAACCATGGGTTGTTTTTTTCCCCCCTCACCCCTCCCGGAAAAAGAAGTACAATATCCATCTATTTTATTCTTATCTTTATTATAAACAAGTTTGTAGTTTCCAGAATGGGATTACTATATACTAGATAACAAAAACATCCTCAGGTGAATCAGTTTTAGCTTTTACTAGATTAAATCAGAACCAGCAAAACAAGTATTTCATCTATTGCAAGAACAGCAGCTTTACAAACATGAAACAGAATTAAAGATGCACATTTGATCATATATACAATAAGCAGCTGATGACACTCTGGACAAAAACATAGAAGGAACTTCTTCGCACATAAATAGATTTTTCAAAGTATATTTCTTTCACGTGTATACAAAATTATTTTGCTTTCTATGAGTCAAGCTCTTGGAGACATAAACAAGGATTTCTAAAAGACAAAATCCCACTTATCACTCAGAAAGTGGGCTGTCATACACATAAGAATGCAGTAATACAATTTACACAGCACACCTATACAGTACTTGAGTTCTTTATATACATACTTACAAGAAAATTTTGTACATGAGATGCCACCTTTGCTACTGAAATGGCATCTACCCTGAAAGGTTGTGTTAGTTCCAGTGTTTTATATAAAAGATAACACAAGTATCAAAAGGCAGCACCACTAGGCTTGCAGAGTCAGGGTTCCACTGAGCTGCAGCTGAAGTGAAGGCAGGGGGGTCATTACACTAGTCTCTCTGTGTTTACATAGTCCCAGCAGGGAAGGTTAAGATGGGACCCTTGAAGTCTACACACTACCTCTATAAAATGTGGCTGTGCCAAGAACAATTGATATTAACAGATCCATGGCTAAAGCCACACACTTTTGCTTTCTCTTTAAGCTGCTTAAGCCAAGTATCTGGTTCTGTCTTTGGGGGAGAAGTTTGGCTTTTACATGATTTTTTTTTTTTTAGTATGATTCAATTATTTATCAGTGGTGGGGCTCAATTCAACGTGCACACACAAAACCTGTGAAACTCTTCTTTAATGCAGGCAGAAGGGGTGTACAGTGCAGCAACGACAGAGAACCCTGCTAAGCTTCTCCTGGAGTAGGGAACGCTCAGCACCTGTGAAAATCATGTGCCAAGGTTGCTGTGAGATTTGGTCAGGCTTCCACTTCATTTTAGGCACAACAGTGGCAAAAGAAGGGCTGGGGTTTTGCTCCTTGTTTCTTTTAATCATACCTTGTCTAACTAGAAAACAGTACCCGGAGAACACTCAGAGCAGCGTGCAGGTGATGCCTTTTAAGACCTGGCATAGAGCGTCTAGCCAAACGCTACCCGGGTGTCAGCAGCGCGTGTCAGCACACATACTACCAGCTGCACCCACGGTTCACACACACCCATACTCATACCAAACAGTCTGCTGATCCCCCAGGGGGTCTGTAGACCCAGGGGTGCTGTTGGAGCCGCTTCCTCTCACGGGCTCCTCCATCGCCCCAGCGCTGCCTTCCGGCGGCTTACCCTGGCACTTGGTGGGCAGGACGTCACTCTGGCCTTGCCCGAGGGAAACATTCCCCTCAGCGCTGCTGGGGACAGCCCTGGCAGCGGCCACCTCTCCCGTACGAGGGGCTGGCTTGGGTTTGACTTTAGACGTGTGTGATGTGGGTGAGTAGAGCTGCCCTGGGCTGACGTGCTCCTTTTGCTGCATGTTCAGATTGCTGGTGGATGCCGTGGGCGAGGCAGAGAGCTGGTGGAAGGAGAGCGGCCTCTCATCCCTCGGCGGGGCTAGGGAGAGGCGCCGTGCGTCTGGCTGCCGACAGCGGCCGTCGGCACCTTGCAGGGAGCCCGCCGCCTTCGCGGACTGCGGCCTCTCTCTCGGCACTGCCTGGGAGCTCGCTGGCACAGGAGCCCTCGCGGCCTGACTGGCAGGGGTTGCCCCCACGCGGGTCTGCCGTTGGCTTCGGGGGGCTCTCCTGCCTGTACGCCTCCGGGCCGCTGGCTCTGAGGAGGTCTGCAGAGGCCAAGCTGAACGCCCTGCTCAGCGACGCGCTCCTCCTGCTCACGGCGCCGGGCTGCTGAGGCTGTGCCATCTGCCGCAGCCCCCCGGCAGGCTGGGGCTGGGCTGGGGGAGGAAGCTTAAGGGATCCCTGGGAGTTTGCCAGAGGCTCAGGTTCGACTTGTCTGAAGTTTGGCTTCACGTAGTTTCCAGGCTTAGCTGTTCTTCCTTCTTCACTGGCAATGGTCATCTTTACAGCTGGAGCAACAGGACTAGCGGGCACCTTAGCAGCCTCCTTTCTGGACAGCTGAACCGGTAGGCTCCCAGTAGCAGAAGGCTCATTTGCTTTCCTAAAATAGTCGCCGAGCAAGTCATCTCTGTTACTGGAGGTGTCCTGGTGTGAGAAAATATGCACATACCACATTAATGACAACGCTTTTTGTTCATGGAATCACGCCAAGCTTTGTGTTCAGATAATTTTCCTTCTCACTTAAGTCAACTCAAATACAACCACCAATTTTATATTTAAAGTGGGGAACAGAAGATATGAATGCTTACAATGGGTATAAATCCAACACAATGAATAACATGCTCGTCATAATTAGATCATGGCAGCCTTGTTTGCCAGATTAACTGTCCTAAATTTAAAAAAATTAACCTCACTTGCAAGCTGGGCAACAGCTCTTTTGCTTCCTTTCACATCAGCCACTGTCACAGAAGTATATTTATGACAGTAGTTGGTATCAGCAGACATGGATGATGGTCTGTCATCTTCCAGAATACAGTTCATCTGGAGGACACTCTACTGTAACTTCAGGAGAGAATACTTTGGGGACAGGCGCCAGCATTACACGAAAGTTTCACTGCTTCTCCTCACCTCTCCCATTCTCCCATAGTATATTGACTATGTTAAAAGCTGCGTGTACAATGTAAAGCAATGTCCAAAAAATCGTTACAAAACCAGAAAAATTGCTTACCCACAACTAACCTGAAAATTTCAAGTCAGACAATTAACCTGACAGTAAAAGAAAATACACAATATTTCACGAGGATGGTCCATGCAAACCAAAAATGGTGATACTTGATCAGCTGCCACTGCACTATTAGTATGCGACATGCTCCAGATAGTTAAGAGACAGGCTGTCTTCACAAAAAACATGCTGAAACAAGCTCATGGAATTAAGTTCTTTACTCGTTTTCAGGTAGCATGTTAAAGCTTAATATATTCATTTCACTAGCACTCCAAATGTTTCTTCCACTCACAAAGTTTGTTTGCTAGAAGTGAATGCCATCGACGGCAATAGCACAGCCGGAAGATTTCTATGCTTGACTAAATGTTAAAGCATTAGGGTTATTTTTAACTTCACTTTAAACTTCTATTACATACATTAACATTACAGAACAACTAGTCCTCCAAAGACACCTTAATGAACAAGCACTGGAGATACTTTATGAGCAACTACTGCAAGTGATCTGGCAGCCATTAAAATACCAGCTAAGAGTTAGTGTGCTTCTATAGGCATTAATATGCTAACAAAAGCTGAGGTGAGCTGGAAGCTGATGCCTTCATAGCAAGAACAATAGATACCCTGGGGAGATACAGTGAAGTAGATCTCCTGTTTCCCCTGCCTGTTCTGTGCCTCGCGCTGTCAGGACAGGAATGACTGAGGACCGATTCAAGTGACTGTGAAGGTTCCTGATGAAGGGAAGGACATAGGGAGTAGCAAGAGGGATACAGTGCATCAGCTTCTAACAGAAATTGGTGCAATGAAATCATTTCACTCTCATTTAAACTGCACCGATGCTGAAAAGGAACACTGATGACAGAAAGAACAAAAATGGAGACATGGTGAGGAAGTTACAGACAAAATAAACCCCACAAACAAATTTTAGACGTGTCTGAAAGCTAAGAATTATATTTTGGATAATGGGGGAATAGGAGGTATATTTAAATATTGCTCTGAAATTTCAAAGAAAAAACTTCCAGAATTTACTGATGCCATAAAATGGTACAGCTGTCGACTTTAATACTGTTACCAAGGCATTAATGAAACAGAAACATCTGTTCACTTACGCTATCAGTGAATTGTTCTTAAGCCATTAACATGCTTGCTACTGCACCACCTCGCTACTGTACAGCATGTCTGAGCAGTTAAAGACAAGTGACATCTAGAAAACAAATACTTAATTTCTGACAAAGCACTTGAATCTATGGCATATTCTTGCAGTTACTGACCCAGCAGGACAGTGCCAGTCAGCACACAAACACACAGCATGGAGAAAGCATGAAGAACTTCCTTATGCAACAAAATCAAGTCTCTCTCAAATGCGCTGATGGCATTTTAAGATCAGGAGATGGCTTTAACAACTGCATATTGTGCACTTCAGTTGAAAACTACTGTTAGGTTTCATTCCTATTGACAGATTTAGCAGCTGAAAATTACACAGAGAACTCATCAGTTCACAAATAAAAATACCTGGAGCTGAGAACTGATGATACAATATGAAACCCTGACCACAAGAGTGTTTGACATTAAAAAGCCCCAGCAGTCCAATACATTGTACTTACAGTGAATTATCTGCTTGCTTTACCGTAGCTGATGGACCAAAATACATGAGCAGAGTGCTGTGTCAAAGTTAACCTTGCCTTAGTTGTTGGAACAGTTTAATTCAATTTGCAAGACTCAATAATTCTCTGAAAGTTCCACATGTATGAGCAAGGCTTGTTCTTTGTCTTCCCTTGCTCCCCTATGCTCTCATCCCCCTCAATCAACTTTGGACACATTTTTGACACCTGAGATGGACTATCCTAGCTCTATTTACTTACACTTGGTGGGGACAGCCTGTTGCTCTCTTCTAAGAACTCTTCCAAAGTTACCATCTCACTGCCAGGTGAGGCAGACCGTTGCCTGCCCGCATAAGACTGGGATGGAGTACTCTTCTGAGGTGTATCACAAGAGGTCAAACCACTCCTGTGGGTGGAGGACTCATGCCTGCAACTAGGGCTTAAGATGGTAGAAGCGGACTGATAGGGATAGGTGTCCCGGAGCAAGGCTGGTGCCTCTCTGCCTGGCATCGTGTCTTCACTGCTGAGACTCTCCGTTCTACCATGGATACGGTCTAAGGAACCTGAAGAGAAGCATAAATATCATTAGATGCTGTTCTTCCCTCATTTCAGCAGGTTTCTCAATGAGGTAGGAACTTTATCATACAGGTCCACTTCCAAACAGACCAGGTGGCACTTTCAACCTTACTTTCTTCACCCACAGAACTCAAGGCAGTCAGAACTTTGACAAATAGGACTACTAAATGTCTTACAATACATACTTTGAGATCCTGTGTTAAACAAGCACAACTACTCGTTCAAAGAATAGGAGTAACACAGATACAAAGGGGGCCTCTTTACCACATCTGTGCCACTAGATGTCCCAGTTTTGGCTGTGTGTTCTGAAAGCCAGAACCTGTCAGTGTGAAAGCAGAAAGTGGATTTTTCCACAGTGCCAGGACTCCTGGTATCCTTCAAGGATGCACAATTTCAGCAAAAGCAAATCTCCAGAGCACACTGATTCCACACACAACCTGTGTACAGTGCAAGAATGGAAGATACCTACTATTGTAAAAAGAGTCTAAAAGTGTCCTGATACTTCCCATATGATGCCAGTCAGACTGAAACAAAACTGGCCTGTCTACCTTAAAAGCCACCCCTTGCCAGAATCAATCTTAGAAAAATACTTCTTGCCAGCAGTTTTGATTCCAAAGACAGCCATGTCCAGATTGCATAATTATTCCAATTTCAAAACAACAGTCTTAAAATGTAACTGAAAGGAAAATAGCATTTTGCACGCAGTTTCATGGAATTTCACTTCCTGTTTGTGAGAATTCAGCTTTACCTTTCAAATTGAGAGGTGAACTACTGCTGGAAGGGTTTCTACTGCTCTCTAAACCGTTTGGCCTGGACACTGAAAAACAAAACAAGCATTGAACAAACAGAACTTAAGTTCCTCTGATTCTCTAAAAGACCTGGCTAGAGTCTGCCTTCTGAAAATAGGACCTGTGCAACTAAGTCACTTCAAAAACATTAATATTAATATACACAGGATGCTGAAGTCTGGACAGAGTAGAAGTCATTTTCCGTTTTCAGGTCAAGTTGTTCAAGATCCATCTTGTTTTCCTCACTTATTTTTGGCACCAAGAAATATGTTCTGGGATTTGCTTTTACAGCAGCTATAAACAAAGTAATGTAAATACTGAATAAGTTCAGCAGTAATTGCTGCCTCTTCCTCTGTTTCTTTTGAAGGAGCTGGTAAACAGCCTGCAAATTAAGTCTTCCATAAATGTCTAAGCAGGCAGTGCTGCACCAGTGTTCCCACTCTGCATCCACCCCCAATTTTTTTTTTTTTTATTTTTTTTTTTTTTTTTTATTCCCTTAAGGAAGGAATCAAACATTGTCCAGAAAAATCAGCAATAAATCTGCAGGACATGTATTAAAGAGTCTGTTGCTGGGGCAAGGCAATTTGCCTCAATACCAGCATTGGTTTTAAAAATTTATTTTACACAAATGTCCATTAAAAGCTTCTCAACAGAAAAATTGAAATACTTGGGCCCACGCTCCCAAAATGGTGTTGTGTTACTACGTCACATTCTGCCTTGTTAATTTAGCTGAAGTGCTCCACAACAGGTCGCATGGATGCAACAAAACAAGTCTTAAATGTTTAGAGCTTTAGGGCATTCGCACATGCTACAAGCTTACCATGCTGTCTGGTGCTAGCAAATGCTACCTCGGGGGACTGTTCACACAAATTATCTTCTGAATTACAGCCTGAAAAGAAAACAAAACTTAAAAGCCAATATTAAACACAGGAAGGTTAATCCTTCAGGTCAGTCTCCAACGCATTCTAGTGGTATAGAAGACAAGGTGATTGAGAGGCCTCTACAGAGCCAGCACTGGAAGAGCAGCCATCTTCTAACCACTGGGCAGGGAAACCACAGGAGGACTGACATCCAAATGTGGTCTGTCAAGCTGATGACGTTACAAGAGTGAAGAAACCCTGTATCTGATCAATTAAACTATTAAGCCGATAAAGCAGGCGTGAAAATACCAACGTTCTGGGTTTGTACTTGAATGCCTGTAGAAGCCACGTTTCACCCAAGCAAGAACTATGAAGTAGCCTGACTTCTTGCACCAGCTGGTGTATCAACAGCACTGCGCACCTTTTGGTCTGCTCTGGAGCCTGGAGATGGGGGTGGAAGCGTGTGGATGAATAGCTGAGGTCGAGTAAGTCCTGGGACCCAGTTCTACACAGCATTGTTTCATCACAGAGTCTGACAAGATTTCAACATTATCGTTGCTGCCTCCATAATGGGAATTCCTCTTGTGCTTTAGGTCTGTTAGCAGTGAGGGGGAGAGAGGTAAATAAATACAAGTCAATGAAAAATAGATCTGTATTTATCTGCCTATACAAACACGACAAGCAGGCACACAAACTGCACAACAGAGGCGCTACTTTTGCAAGCTTTTCCATAAACAGCTCAGTATTGGATAGGAAATTTCTGACACCTATTTTTCAATCATGTGTGCTCTCTGTAAAGTGTGGGAGTGACAAGGGCTGCTTAGTGCCAGTAGGAGGGTTGATATTATACATGCAACAATTACTGTGAAAGGAGGAAGAAAAGGAGCAAAGACATGAATGCAGAGAAGATAAGTGAGGTGTGAAATTCCCATAACATTATTTCTTGCATGTACATTTTGTAAGCACTTAGTTCAGTCATAAAATAGAACAAGGAATGAGCGACAGTAGTCACGCTCTTATTCAAAGAGAAATAACGCTGATTTGGAAATTATCTAGCGTGATCCATACACTAAGCTGATTGTTTTCGGGTTTAGATCTTTGCTATGATGCAGGAGCTTAGCCTGTACAAGGTTGAAACTCTACTGCTCTTGTGAAGTTCTGGTGTAATGACTTTAGTGGAATTCCTGGGATCTTAGCATGAGAACAACAAAAGCTACCTGCTAGAATATTATTTAGATTTAGAAAGCTGAAGACATGTTTCCTAGTGATCAGGTAGGTGGATTCATTTCTTCTAAACATAAAATAGAACAAAATTTAAAGATTTTACTATAGCAAACAGCCATAATAAGATGCAAGATTCTAGTTTTACATATATTTCTATGGAGTACTTGCTTAACTAATAGTAACTAAACGCTGAGAACGCAGCAGAAAGCAGTGATCAGAATAAACAACCTGCAGAGACAATGGACAGACAGTGCAAAGCACAGAGCAGCAGCAAAGTTGTCTTGGAGAAATGGACCAAGTTACTGTCATCATAGATGACTCCTGTAAGCTGACTTCAGAAACAGTGTTTTCTCCCACAGCCTGCGTGGGCTCCACAGTACAAGGCTGACACTTTCTCTCAGAACTGAAGTTTATAGCATGCCTGTAGGGGCAATTACTGCCTAAAGCTTGGCATGTAGATCTCTATTTCTAATGGACTTTGTAGATGTACTTAACACCTTCCATAGATGCCAGAATTAATTGCTCTGGAGACAAACATTCTGTGCAAATCCCAAAATGGGCAGCAACAGGCTGCCATGCTAGTGTCCCTGGTTGTGCCACAGAGGGCCAATTCTCAAAGGGAGGCAGGAGATGAGATCTTTTTGCCTCTCTGCTGAGCTCCCTGTAGCATATTGCCCATGCTGCATACATTTCTCTAACACAGAGTGGGGACAGGACCCACACATTCATTTCAGAAACCACCAGGTTGTAGCTATTGGGCATTAAGAATTCAGGGCCATGGAATCATGATAAAGGTTATTCCCAATCTTTAAAGAAAAAACCTACTTCCTTCTTCCAAAAAAAAAAAAAATCTGTCAAAACTGAAGCAGCAGAAACTGAAATTTTTGCTCAATTCAAGATGAATTTTCAGAGCTGGAATGTAAAACCTTGCTAAACAGCAGGTTTTGATGCAAACATCAAGACACTTTGCATAGAATAATTTTTTCAGTAGCTCCCACTTCAAAGCCAGACTATTTAAAAGCAGACAAAGATGTTCAAAAACCCTGTCACTTTTAGTATTTTCATGGGAAAAATCCACATGTTTTGAGACTGCTTATATATTAGACCTTAGAAGGACTAAAACACTGTAGAAAGCATAGCAACAGCAAATCAGTTCAACACTTTAGCTGGACATGATGCAAAGATGTGACTGCAAGAAAATATTGAAGCACACAGCAACTTCACTTACTTATAACATGCACCACAGCCAATATACATACGGAAACTGTATGCCACCAGGTCCCCTAAAAATGTGCTGCATTGAAGAAATGATCCACAGTGTGCAATAGTGATTCATCTTCTACAGGAAAACTTAGGTTTCTGTTCACTAATCCGTGCTTGTATTTACAGTATTGTAAAGACATGCTGAGCGTTCCTATCAAAGTGTGTGTTGTTTTAAGGCAAATGGGATTTTTTTGTTGTTGTTTTTTAAAATATTTGTCAGTAATAAATGAAGATAAGCACTAAAGAGAAGGTGTTAGAAATCTCCCAGTTCCGGGAAAGAAAGAGGTTCATTAGGAGAGGATGGGATGTCAGAAGAAGACCAGAACCGGAGCCGATTAGAGAGAGACTGATGATTCGGTGGAGACTTAGGAGACTTTTCTTTATCCTTGATTTTGCTTCTCAAAAAGGCAATCTTTTTGCGCTGTGCAGCTAAATTGTTATCACCCAGGTATCCCAAAAAGAAGAAGAAAAAAAAAAAGGTAAAAAAACCCATGTAAATAAAACTTAAGTGTCTTATAACAGATTAAAGACTACACAACCAGTAAAAAAGGAAAAGGCTAAACAAAGAGACTAACACGTATTAGGAGGACTGATTAATGCATAGTTAAACCAATGCAAATTAACGCATAGATTAACAACATACATAAAATTTAAGCAAGTCCATTAAGAAATTACTGTTAGATCACTTAAAGTAAAATCAAATAGTTGTGTATGTTATTTAGTGGCAGTATCCTCAAATTTCCTAGATGTCTTCTAGTGTTTAACACTCATGTCATCTCAACATAAGTGTGTTTCATTTAATGCTGAACGGAATGAAGCACCAGAGACCTTCTGTTCTCTCTGACACTCCACGAGGGCCTTGTTCCATGGAAATGCAAGCCCAGATTCCCAGGCTGAAATCTGGATGCATGTTAAACACTTGACATCTCCTGGAATCACAGGGATGCTTTAAGACTTATATTTTTAAGTGAATCAACTACCTTGAGAAATTAGAACGGAGAAAGAGAAATATAAAACCCAGCCAAACCCAAAACTTCAGCCAGAGAGACACTTGCAGTAGTTTATAACCGTTCTACCTCCCTCAGCTGCTCCCCTTCTGTTTCCCACACTCCCTAGTGGGAAGACAGGAATTATTATGTAAGGATTAATTTCAAAACTGCTTCTTGAAAAGTATTCCTGGAGGACCACAAATCTACATAAGAGACTGACAGAAGTGATCTCAATAGAATAAGCAAAGCTTGGGATATATATTACCTTTAACAAAGATCATAAAGAATTTATTCTGAGGTTCTTTCTTTTAAATTTCTCATAATTAAGAACAACCAATTTACTGTATGAACTAAACAGAAAGAGAAATCATTCCATCTTCCTTAAGTTCACCTTAGAGTGTTAAAAAAAATATAATTTAACACTAAGAAATTCTTTGACTCATAGTCAAAACATTGTATCATCCCCCAAAATAATATTAGACTAAAGTTGTGTTTTCTGTTATTTCTTTTGCATGCACGCCATCTCCTGGCAGTGGCTGTAAGAGCAGCTGTTCTCATTTGAAGAATAGTTGCTAACGCATCTCAGTATTATATGGTCCAAATTTAAAATGCTTTGTTGTAAAACCCTAGTAAATTAAGCACTTCCAGCAACTTATTCAGCAACATGCAACACATTCAGGCAAACCAAGAAACTATATACAAAAGCTGAAGGGAGGAAAAAGAAAAAAAGGAACAAATCAAACTAAAACTAACTCTACCTTTTAGTTTACTCAGCTTTATAGTTCAGGGTTTTTTTTCCTTTACTAAAACTTTCAGTTTACTAAAAAGGGGATATAAAACAATGTGACATAATATTGACACATCCTATACATTAAATCTGTAAAAAATATTTGAAATAATTTTTTTAAAAAATACTTTTCAGCTCATGAATTTAGGGTGGGCATTCCTTACCTTTGTTTGAAGAACCACTAGGGCTCTCTCTTTCTTCCATAGAGTTTGACTGTTGAGAAGCACTATCCTGAGACTCTTGATGTTTATGTTTTTGGGAGGCAGATGGAGAGTTTATAGTCTCTGGGGATTCTGAATGATGCAGGGGGCTCTCTGCTGCTGGTTTCAACCGCTCCCTTGTAGTCTCCTTCTTTGGCTTGATTAGTTTGACTAAGGCTCTGGCTCCAATCCAGTGATTTTTCCTGATAAAGCAGGTTTTGTGAGTGGGATTCATAAAACGCTACAAAGAATACTCCCAGAAGAAGTTTACAGCTGTGCTAAACCAATCAAGCTATCCTACATTCTTATTTACTTACTGCCAAGAATTGGTTGGAAAGGTGTGCCATGAATGTCACAGAGCTTGAGATCCATTTCTCTCCCAAAGTCAAAATTATTTTACAGAAGTATTTCTCCAGCATGAGAAACGTGAGCAAGACAACTGCTCCCGCTGCTACAAATCTCAGCTACAGAGGTGGACCCACGCAAGACAGTTTAACAGTGTGAAAAGCCCTACTACAGGAACAGACTGAGAAGGAAGGAAATGCAAACTGCTTTAAAGATGAACCCCTCTTTTTGCTAAGGCTATCAATCAGAACTGTGTGGTGGAATTAGCTTGATTCTTCTTTGTTGTTCTCAGTATAATTTTTTAAAAGTCCTTTCTCTCCAGTGGACTGCTTATCCCCTTTGAAGAGCAGCTCTGGAAGCTCTTGCTGCTGCTTAGTCATCGTATCGGGGGTCTCTCCTCCTTTCTAGGCACAAGATGATATACACCAGGGCAAAGTGGCTCTTTTCCAATACATGCTTTTTCATATTTTAGTATTAAGATTGGGCCCCATGTGAGATACAGTGCTCTGTATTAACACAACCTCCTGCTTCAGGAAACACCTTGTGGGGTGAGAGTGTAGATGGCACTGTCCTTATTTCAGATGACATTTCTGTTCTTTCCAGTTATGAAGAGCCCTTTCTCACCCCCATAAATCTGTACAATAGCAGAACTGAACCCATACAAGACTCACTTTTTTGGAGAAGGATCATAAAACTTGTACTGATCCATTATCTTCTCTTCAAGTTTTTCCTTGTGTCTCCTTAATGCATTCAATTTATCACTGTGAGGGGGGAAAAGCACATTCTGAACCATCTGTATGAAATTAAGCATAATCAAAAAAATTAAAGACCAAGAGCCACCAAGAGAGGAAGGAGACTGAAATTAGTCCTACTGCATAATCTTCAGAATCCTACTGAACTCATTCACTGTTTAGAGAGGGTGAATGCAAAAGCCTACCAATATTGCCAATGGGTGAGTTTTGTGCAATAAGTACGAAAAGCAAAAGAACAGTAGATTTGTGCTAGGTTACTCACTAATGACTCAGGCACAGCTAGTTTAGTGGGTGCCAAGATCAGTCTTTTTTAATTTTTATTTTATTTTTTAAATTTGTTGGCTGATTGTTCAGTCTTATTCACAGATCACTGACAATTACTCAAGAGTTGAGATCTTTACATATTTTGAACTTATCTACATGACAACTGGGTATTTTACTCCTGTTCTGCTTACTGCTGTAACTGGAGAAATAAATAACGTTTCAGCTTTTTAAGACTAATGTGGTCTCTGGTGAGCTGTATCAAAGCACGTGCCATGTAATCTTACTATTGTCTTTTTTACTCATTATTTTATTAACCTGCATAGTGGATGTTAGCAAATATTTTCTCCTCAAGTAGTAGTTCTAATGTACCTCCACCACAGAATCGTCAGACACCTGGATAAATATGCTTAGAATACATTTGAATTGTATTCACCCAACTTCAGCAAACAGTTTCTAACATTTCAACCACATAATCCAGTACTGAAATAAAACTTGGTTAGTAACTCCCCACATCATCCTGATGCGCTTCGACTAAAATTCTTGGGATTAAGGACACTTTTCCTCCTTCTTTCATGCCCAAAAGAGAAATTCAGTGCAGTGAGAACAAGATTCCTTGTAAAGGCAGTGTTTAAATGAGGTATCTCGCTTAAAGCTGCCACCCTGTGTGGGGCATGCAGCAATGTACATTGACAGATGCATCTTTAAAAACAACATCAGAGGAAGTATTTCTTATAACGCAAATGACAAAAACTAGAGGACTACGAACATTTTCCTTTCTTCAGGAATCTAAATATAAAATTAGTCTCGTAAGACTAACTTTTTGTTGCAACTCAGCTATTTTCCAAGCTCTTCAGACAGCTTTGAGAAGTACCATGGGGTTTAGCATTCCATCTTTTATGATTAACTTTTCCACATGGGTTCATGTATATTCATAGAATCATAGAATCAT